ATATATATTTTTTGAGTTCTTCTGTGTCCAATGCAAATTAGAAGGCCAAAATTATTCGCCAACACGATGGAAAATAGAGCGATCTCATTGGTCGAGAGCTCACGTGACAACTCGCTAATTAGCTGTCCAACCTCCTCTGCCTGCGGAGGAGGCTAGATTTTACCTCAATTACCTGCACTCACTTGAAAGTGCTGTATGAGTCTGTATCAAACAATTAAGTTAATATGTCTGGCATTATCTCAGGCGTGCTAGACCTAACCTTTGGTTTGCTTTGGGACAAACTTCGCGATCATACTGCGGAGCACTTACAGGATGGCGATGTTACCGACGAGAAATGTCGTCAAATAATTGTTCGTGAGTTGGATAACATGAAATCAATTCTGGAAGGGTTATCACGTAAAGATCTTCTTGCAAGTATAAGCTTTCTTAAAGAAGGTGTTTGCTTGTTGAATATGGCCTTCAGATCTACGAAAGACGACGTTTATAAACGAGGTACATTGCAAGACAAGAGCGGAAGCACGATACAGTCGATAGACTGTCAAAGTTCAAATGAAATGCCTGACTTCTCTACCAGCAGTAGTGAATCAAACTCAAAACAAAACCTCAATGAGAACGAACGTTTTGAGGAAGCCATTAAACTGCTTTCACGAATAATAGCCAATCTTGGTACTGCTTCCAAGGACCGTCTTTCCTCCGCAAGAAGGTCGTTTGAACACGCACGACACGAAGCTACAACAGCGTTCAACAACAAAGCACTGTCGACGAAAGACAGAATCCTTGCATGCAAATTACGAGTGATAAGTAGAATGCTTGAAAGCGTTGAAGACCCCAGGGTTGTATTTGAAACATGTATGTTGTATCTCGAAGAACTTCACAACCTTGAAGCAATTCAGGGGATATTTAATGTTCATATCAATGGTGGATTAAGGTCACGCTTCAACAAGCAAAAGCGTCAAGAATTAATGAGTTCGGTAATCATGATTAGCTATGTTTTAGCGAATTTTACATTGAGGTTTGCGGAGAAGAGGTATAACTTGTTAACATGGCCGAAGGTTCAAACAAGTCGTGGTAGTTTTCATCCATTATTAGATTCTGCGGCAAACTCGATTATGCACAGCGCCAAGATTGGTGCACCACATATATTTGTATTTGATAGAATGACGCAACATGACCATAAAGTTATGCCTGAAATAATGACAACCGGAAGTGGACACATTGCAGAAATTGCTTTTAGAGACGATGTATTGCACTTCTGCTTGTTTCATAGTACAGACGAAATAACCACTGACTGCGCTAAAATACTACTCGCTGTCACAGACGATGGGTTAGATAATATATATGTTGTCGCTTATGTCGAAGTATCCGCCGACAAATTTGATTTCTCGCTTCTCGTAGCTGATAAAACAGGAAATATCATGTGCGAGTCAAATCTAGTGTTCCTCGCACATGCGGAGAAAAACTATCGGGAAAGCGCACCCTCGGATCTAATTGAAGAATTCTCAAATTCTCCCACTCATGTTGAATTTGCTGTAAACACCGCGGGTAAAATCTTAGTCTTCGGTCACCAAACCTTTATCTACGTCTGCGACAGTAATGGTGTACTCTCACATAACTTTGAAACTGCTGACCGAAATGATCTCGTTAGTATAACGCATAATAACGATGTTATCTCAGCTACATATTCTAGCAACACAGTTTGTGTTTATTCTTTGAATGGCAGCATGATACACCAGTTTGACGTAGTCAGAGGTCAATTAATTTGTGACGTAGTTTCACATCATACTTCACACAGGATACATGTCTTGACACGAAATTTTCAGGAAGGGAAATCTCAATTGGAGATTTACACACACCTTGGAGAACATTGCGGAAATTTGAAGTTAGCTGGCTTCAATTTTTCAGCACTGTTTGCTCTGTGTGAAGGTCCAGTGGCTGTTATTTATGACAAAGGAATTATATTGACTTAACTTAATACATCACAATATACTAGTAATCAGTATGTATTAAGCCTAACTGCGTAATGTATTTATTAATAAAATTTGTTTTGATTTGATTTGAGACGTCATACCTGCAGGTAAAATCCTTGTATGACTAAAGCTGGAGTTACACGAGCAACAAAATTGCTGCAACTTGCAACAAAATCTGACTTCAATGCATGTTAAGTAGAAATGTCGACACATGTTGCCTTGTGATTTGTAATTTATGTGTAAACATTTTCAATTTTAACATGCGTTGAAATCAGATATTGTTGCAGGCTTGCAGCAATTTTGTTGCTCGTGTAACTCCACCTTAAGTATTGGCAAGTTCTTCTGCCATTTGTAGGAAAACTAAATTGTTACTAATAGGCTGTAAAGACCTCATGCATGGCTCATAAGGGTTAAGGGGATGAATTCAGAACCATACCAGCCTCGTACCCAGGCTCTTTAGTAATTAATAGCGTTCTGAGCTCTGGGTGAGCTTTTAGGCGCGCGGGGAATTTTCACCCAGACCTCTGAACGCTATTAATTACTACAAAGCCTGGGTACGAAGCTGGAACAGTGAACTATGGCATGGAACCATACTCAAATTGCACGATTTTGCCTTTCGAGTTCACACAGCCCGCGGAATACATGTAACCGCATGAATTCGAGCAAAACTAAGCCTGCGAATTCCCGTAAAGATAAATCAAACAGAGTGAATTGCGCCCGTCGTGCTCGAACGTGGTTCTTCCATCCAAACTCAGTACTAAAGATATGACCATGCCGGTGGCGTTTAATAATTATCATCTTATTTATGATAATTAGACAATTAGACCGCGTTTAGACAATGAAAAGAGGAATTAATTTTGCTGTTTTTTTCCAATTTATTACATGCTAAGTATACTGTTCATTTAATTAACCATGCTAAGTATACTGTTCATTTAATTAATTAATTAAGCTAGAAATTCAGTTGTTGCTTAAAACCGCTTAAGGTGGCTCCCTACAGTTTTTGAAATATGACAAAATTGTGATTTAGATTTAATTTTTTGAAGAGAGGTTTCTTGTTAGAAGACAAAAATTGTACCACATATATTGAAAAATCTTCTAAGAGTTGAAAATTGGTCACAAAAATGACGTCATAACCGTTGCTATGGTAACAATGACGTTTCAATATGGCCGACATTTTACCTTTTAACACATTTTACTCGAAAAAAGGCCGGTTACTCCCATTTCTTATTTCGTGAAACGTTTTTATTCAGAAAAATGAATGATGTGAACAAGTTAAAAAAAATTCTGTAGATCCAAAAAATATTTATCACGAAAAATCACGTTTTTTAATTTTTTAAGAATTCTGATCTACAGAATTTTTTTAAAATTGTTCATATCATTCATATTTCTAAATGAAAACGTTTCACGAAATAAAAAATGGGGGTAACCAGCCTTTTTTAATAAAATGTGTTAAAAGGTAAAATGTCGGCCATATTGAAACGTCATTGTTACCATAGCAACGGTAATGACGACATTTTGGTGAACAATTTTCAACTCCTAGAAGATTGCTCAATATATGTGGTATACTTTTTGTCTTCTAACAAGAAACCTCTCTTCAAAAAATTAAATCTAACTCACGATTTTGTCATATTTCAAAAACTGTATTGAGCCACCTTAAATTAGCGCATCCTCTCCACTGGTAAATTCCAAATTCAAATAGAACACTTTAAAAACAAATTGGTTAAAATAACCCATAAACCAATTTGTTTTTACTGTGAATTTACTTCACAGTAAGCTTGAAACATAAACAGTTTAGTATTCTCCTTATTAATGATCAATGAATGACTAGCAGAACAGAATACGGTAGTTCCAGCAGAAATAGCAATCTGTTTGTTGAAATCACTTTTTTCAAAATGTCCTTTTCCTTCAATTATAATGATAATGCTTGGACCATTTAGCGGCCTCAACATGTAACTGATCTCTTTACAAGGAACCTGTAGAGCGAAAAAAGAACAAAATTGCTCATTTTAAAACCATTCCAGTCAGAATATGTTGGGTTTACATTTTGGTAAAGCGAATACATTATAGTAATTAATGACTAGTGCATGTACGCCGCAACATATGGCTTGCTTATTAAACAACGGTGATCAATGCTTGCGACTCATAGAAAATTCATTCTTTGGTTTCATTGTGTTCATTGTAACCAATCACAATGCTTGTTTACATAGATTAGTGGCGGGCGCATAAACACAAAGCAGATTCCCTATGAGAATGTGTATGACATTTAATATATAGAGTAGTACATAAATATAACACGACACCAAAGGCATTAAAAGTGCTGAAAAATCCCTCTGTGCTGCGATACACATACTGTAAATTATAGTTTTATGCAATATACGCGGTGAGATCACTGACATGCTAAGGTCGCTATAGTTCAATTCAAGTAGGCCTAGAATTTTCAAGAAGAAAAAAAAACACAACACTTACTAGTATTTTTCGAACTGCAAAATCCGGCACAGGAGGATTATATACTTCGGAATATGGGCAAGATGGATCTCGCTCACATTTAAACATGTTGTCTTCTCTTGATCCAGGAGAATAATCAAGCATGTCACAAAGAGTTTTTACGTCACGAAACTTTGGTGTCAAACCTGCTCGTACTGTATTATCGCTGCAAGCCATACATTCAATGCAATCTGAAAACGAAGACATAGGATGTAGGTTTGTACAATTATATATCCTTGAACACCGATCATGAACACCAATTTATAAGAATATAATGTAAAATATAACAATATTTAAAAAGTTGTCTCTGACTAAAAATATATGTACATTAGTAAAGCCTATAAAGGACGTTTCGACCAAGCTACTACGGCCTCCGTCTACGAAAATGAACATGTTCTGCAAGTCTCAAAACGAAGGGCCTTCGCTCGAAACGTCGACGTTCTTGTTATTTATTTTCCAGTGTATTGTTCATCATAACCTAAACTGTAACCCCACTCTCAAGATTTTATCATGATAGTGTAATATAATTTGGTCTAGTCTCCTTCGCAGAAACATGTACAGGTGTCTACAGATCCGCAAAACTTTAGACAACATTAAGGGCCAGTTGTAAAAAATCCGGAGAGAGCGATAACCACTCCCGAGAGGAAAGCAAATGCTGCTACGAAGACACCCGTTCAGCGATGGTTAATCATGCACTAAATAATTGCAAAATGAAGGAGTCAGCCTTTCTCATGATGACGAATATCCGCCATTTTTGGGTGGCATCTAATTAACAATTATTCACCGAAGGCGAGGTGATTATCGGTGAATAAAAACCGAGACGAAGTCGAGGTTTTTATTCACGATAATCACCGAGCCTGAGGTGAATAATTGTTTTAGTATAATTTCATAGGTGATTTTTTTGAAAAAAATTAAAAAATGCACATTTCTTCGTCTTTTAATTGACAAAACGGCTTCGGCCGCCATTTTGAAAATCGCTTAGGTGATTATCGCGTAATAATCACCTCAACGGTAACCAATCAGCGTGGAGAATTTTCAATAATCACCTATGTAATTATACTAATTCTCGTTAACCAATGCTGATAATTAAAACAATGTAAAAAGTAATTTTTCAAAATAAACTAACCATTTACAAAGAAAATTTACCATCATTCGTCCAAAAAATTATAAAACGTCGCTGTTGTGTGGACTTATCTCGCCGACTTCGGCTGAAAAGCTACCCAAAAATGGCGGGGTGAGAAAGGCTGATTGATTATTTACTGGGTTACCGTTATAATTGTAATAACAGTTTTCGCCAATCCCTTGTCAGGGAGCTAGTATGATGAAACCGGTACAAATATGAAATGCCAAAGGTTCGATATTTGGTTTGATGTCTCTCACCTCCATCCAAGTAAGCGTGTGGAAGATTGGGTGCCAGGAACATTGCTTGCAAAGGTTTCAAGATTATGTGATTCATAAAATAAATACAAAAACAACCAACGTCTCCTGGAAATTGTGAATTTAATCGCAACAGTAAGTCTTTTAAATCTGCAGACGAATTAGTGTTTTTACTCAGTCGACCGACCAGTGCTGATAACGATTCTTTAACAATATTTGTGTCTCTCGTCATCAATGAGGTAAAACATCTCTTGAAAAATGACTTCCTAACATGTTCATCGTTGCTAGCTGAACAAAATTATATGAAATGTAGAGTGAAATAGAAATTTTGAAATAAGTATAATAAAATACATGTAGCAGCTTTTAAGGCCAATTTACACGGGCGATTTTTGCTGCGATTTCAGTTGCGCGATCTTCTGCTTTTGGAGAATGTGAAGAAGTAGATCAGTTATAAATGTTCCAGGTTATGAAATCTCATAACAACATCATTAAGTAATCTCTCCTTCACATCCTCCAAAAGGAAAAAATCGCAACAAAAATCGCAACAAAAATCGCAGCAAAAATCGCCCGTTTACACGGGCCTTAAGGTAATTCCGCAGTAATTGTTCCCGAAATGAGAATGTGCTGAAACTTCCCAGGCATGGAGTTTATGATATACTTAAAGTAAAATCACACAAAAAAGTCGGGGTCACCGAACTCGTTAAGAAGATATGACAATTACAATATACCACCTTTACCCCCAATATGGCGCCATCCTGACGCTCATTAATACGAGTAACAGCAAAATCACAACAGCCCGATATTTATTGACGTTTTTAGAGCGAATTTTGCTTTAGTAAACCTATCTTGGAAAATTATTTTGGAAAAAATATTATGTTTTGAGCAAAATGAAACTACTAACGTGTACAATTCTAATCCACAGATGTCTTTTCCACATTTCTTTACATATCTTTCTTTGAGAACATGCATTGATAAAGGATTTTTTTTCAAGATCCAGAAATGATTTTTCTTTTAATTTCGGATATAAAATGTAAAATGCATTAAAGAAATAAATTATCAGTTATAAAACGGGGGTCACCGATCTTTTTAGGGAATTGTGGCATTAAAACGTGAAATACAAGTAAATAAATATACTACAGACACAGGGAACCCTAGCTACACTTTTGTATGCCTTTTTTGAAAACATTGATTTTAACGTAATTCTTTGCACGAATGTAACCAAAGATGTTTTGAAGTAACATAAAATTGTCATAAAATGATTTTTTTTTTAAACGGTACGTATAATGGATGAAATTATAAGTTACAAGATGTGCGCAGTAAAAGTGCGCAATGCAAAACTGCGGAATTACCTTAATTGAGGCAAGTTTTTGCTTCCTGGATTCAAAGTTTCCGGATATAGAGCTGAAAACCGAGATGATTTTCCACCAAAAATAACAAATAACATCGAAGAATTCATCCCTCTAGTGTAAAGAAGGTGAAGCGACCTATACGCATAAAACTTTCCTATATTTTTTTTCCAATTCCATATATACAGTAGGCCAGACTAAAGCCTTGTTTAAACGGATCCAACATTGTTGGGCCAACATCATCCAACATTGTTGAAATAATGGCCCAAACGACTTCTTTTTCAAATATTTTTGTCAAGACTAGGTTTAGAGTTTGAGTAAAGCTTATCTAACCAAAAAGATTTGAAAGAGAAGCAGTCATATCTATTATAGTAACATTGTTGGATGATGTTGGTCCAACAATGTTGGATCCGTTTAAACAGGCCTTAAATATACGCGGACTGGGTTTAGTTTTAGTCAAATCCTTTATCGTGACAACACACAACTCACCTTTGCAAGCGGAAATAAATGAAGAGCTTTCCTCCATACCAACTACAGTTTCTAATTCTGGTATTGTTTCCAAGTAAGTGGCGACTTCATCGTAAGGCCGAAAGCCACACAGTCCTTCAAAATCTGTCAGAGCTGTTAAAATTAAACGAGAAATGCTCTCGTTGTCGTTGTCGTGTTTTATCAAACATAAAACGCTCGGCTGCGCCTCGCGCAGTGGCGCCGTGGGACCCATGTTTTTTTTTGTTTTTGTTGGGGGGCAAGGGTAGCCTGCGTGCAGCCTGACTTTAAAGGGGGAAAAGTCAGTCTGCGAATCAGGGAACAATACCGTGTTCGCGCCATCTTTTGAATTGCATGGATTTCTGTATTCAAACGTGATTGGCTATTGCTCAGAAGCTTAATACACGCGCTTCGATTGGCCAATTGTTAATACATTCAGTTCAACAAAATGATATACAGGGTGTCCGTATCACAGTACCCGTATTGACCGTATTGTTACAATTTGAATACACTAGCACTAAAGGCCCTGTTACACGGTGCAATTTTTCATGCAACTTGTCTCGCAATGGCGTGAAACATTGCACCGTTTAACATGCCTTGCAATGGTCAAAATCGTTGCGAGACAAGTTGCATGAAGCATTGCACATAGTAGAAGTCGGTTCTACTTTTGGCAACGATTGCACTAATTATTTTAAGCGTTGCAGCGTGTAACATGACTTCGTGCAACTTGTCTCGCAATATTTATAGCTTGGAGAGTTCCTATTGGCTCTCCCCAGTACACGCTTTATTTTAATTAAAATTTGGCGCCAAATAGCGCCTCTCCCTGGTCTCTTCGCATGCCTCTGTCCCCTATCGTTGCGAGTTGCATGAAAATCATTGCAGTGTGTAACACCTCTTGCAATGCATTATCAAAATCTTTTTATAAACATTGCGAGACAAGTTGCATGAAAAATTGCACCGTGTAACAGGGCCTTAAGCTGAACGTAAACATGCGTAAAATATTGGCAGGGTGCATATATTAAATATTTGACTTATTAAGAAATTAAAATATCTTTGTAAAGCACACTGCTCATGGGAATTTTAAACAACTTCTTAAACAGTTTCTTCATGCATACAATTTAATTATGTCAAGCTCAGGGCCGCCGAGAGGGGGGGGGGGCAAATTGCCCCGGGCCCCGAGGTGCTGCGGGCCCCTGAAAATTTTTTGTTGCGCCCCAGTCTTTTTTGTGTGTTAAATATTTCCACGCAAAGGACAAGATATCTGTTTTCTTGGGCTAAGTACCGAAATTCGGCATAAAAAAATGAGATAAAGTCCCTGGAAAGCAATTGCAACGTACTCGTCCGGAAAAATTTTTACTCCGGAAAAAAATTTTTGACCCCTAAAATGGTACACTGACCGAAAATTTTTTGGCGACGGGTGGGGGGGGGGGAGGTTGTTATCTAGAAAAAAAATTTTTCCGGAAAAATTTTTTGGATAGGGGGCCCGCAAAAAAATAATTTGCCCCGGGCTCCCGCCAACCTCTCGGCGGCCCTGGTCAAGCTTTGATGCACATGTGGGTTCAGGAGAGTGCTGAGGCATTCAAATTCTGACAAACGTTATTTCAATAGTTTTTGTGGTTTTGGGACACTCTGTACCTAGCAAAATGGCGTCTTGAGAACACTCAATGAGAACCCTTTCATACATCTTTTGTATGGGCTTCGTGCATAAATTACACACAATAATGCTCTTCGCGCTTGAACTAAATGTATTAACAATTGGCCAATCGAAGCGCGTGTATTAAGCTTCTGAGCAATAGCCAATCACGTTTGAATACAGAAATACATGCAATTCAAAAGATGGCGCGAACACGGTTTTGTTCCCTGATTCGTAGACTGACTTTTCCCCCTTTAAAGTCAGGCTGCACGCAGGCTAGGCAAGGGCAGCACTTTTCCGACAAACCGAAAAACTTTTCTGACAAACCAAACATTTTTCCGGACGAGAACATTTTAAATCTTCACTTCCCCCCGTCGACAACTTTGACAATTTCCGACAACACTGACAATTTTCCGACGGGTCTCAACAATAGGGGGGGGCATGCCTCCCCCCCCGGCCACGGCGCCACTGGCCTCGCGTTTAAAATCTGATAAAACACTCGTACTCGTGTTTTAAATAGTACTTAACAACTGCAGATTGATAGAGACACAACTAACGTTTTTCAGGTAGTCGTGTCTCTCAACGCACAGTTGTCTTGTTATCGTCGCTACCCACACTCAGTCTGGCACAAACCGTTCTGTACACTTACCTATGGCCATCTCTGGCTTGTGATTGTCATCTGGATAATTTTCAGGTTTTTCCCGATGAAGTCGAGCAGCTAATTCTTTTGTAGGATGGGCCTAACAAATATTTTCAAGATAGAATTAATTTATGAACACAACTATAGGTAAACTCCCTTTCACAAAACTTGTTATATTAGTATTGAGAAAAATAAAGCCAGAAAGAGTTTGCAGTGGGTCGTGAGAAATCACAGTTGTAGGCGCGTTTCATCATGGATAATAAAATAAATGGATAGGACTCTAGCTGACGTAAGCAAAACAACCTAGTTGCAATCTGTGACGTCACGCGTATTGCAAAGTTCTCGGCATTTTTGTTGTTTCGCTATACTTTCCGCTTTAAAAGAGTAATATTGAAGCATAAACTGGTCTAATTGTTTTAAAAACATGCCTAAGCCACGATAAGGTATTCAAGGTAAATGTTTTTGTCTTTGTTTTGCATTTTTTTACATTTGTAGCTACGAAATTGGCGTCCCCAATTTTAACGAAATTTGGGATGCCTTTTTCACTGTTTAGTGCTTGAAATATTTGCTAAAATTGACTGGGAATACTTAGAGATTTCATCGTAGAATGGCGTAGTTATATTCATTTGCTCTTTGACGAAAATGTTTAGCTGTATTAATGCTAAACATGCCGTTTTTGAGAATTTGGTTTGCAACTAGGTTTCAACATCCAATGACGCCATCAGCCCATTGAACACATTAGGTCACGTCATCTAGTTTCCTATCCATTTATTTTATTATCCATGGTTTCATACATATATACATTCGAATCTTTCATTGCGGAACCTCTCTACTGTGTAGCCTGCGTGGCAAATCAGGCCCACTGCAAATCAGGCCCCCCATCAAATTGAGGGCCTGCCTGCTATATCCTTTTCTTTTGAAAATATCTCTACAATATAGACCTCTCCAATACTAGCCTGCATAAAGACCTCTCCAACACTAGGCTGTATGCAGGTGTTTGTTAGAAAATACGGCTGCTGTGTAGCCTGCTCTATATAGCCTGCGGTTTTTAGTTCCTTCGCCTCCCTAATTTTCGCTGCCTCTAGAAATACCGCCTGCCACGCAGGCTACCTGCTCTATACTATAAATGATAGTTATGTATGACAGGTATATGTTACAATAGTTTGTATACGTAAACTGCACAGTAATACAATGTCCTGTTTGCAGTTACACATAATACTTGTTTCTTTGAATAAAAGTTGTTTGGCATACAGTATGTGATTTACAATGCAGAATACTGTACAATAGCACGCCTCTAATAGACTCTGGCTTAGAACAGTATAGTAAATTAATCTGTGGCATTTGGGAACCTTCATTTCAAGATGCTAAATTTAAAACCATGTATGCTATACAGAGCCTGTGAAGAGCTCGTTATATAAAGAAATGTCAAACCTGTATTGATAGGCCTTTATTTACAGAAAGAACTTTAAACAAGAAAGGCAAAAGGCCATCAAAACGTTTGAGAACTCCTTCACCTAATGCACAGGGTTTATCTTTGATCCATTCTTCTAAAGTCATCTGGTTTTCTTTACCGCCGTCACTGATCATCGAAGGTCCTTTTTTGTGTGTGCCCATCCAATACTATAAAGATAGTAAATATAATATAGGAATTCCAATAATCCATGCCAGGACCAGAGACATTTAGCATTATCTAATGATTGCAATTTTGTAACATCCAGTCGGGATACAAGCAGGACTGCCGAGAGCTCTTCGGGGGCCCGGGCCAAAATAATTTTGAAAGAAAATGCTACCGTAGCCACTGTGCCGTAGCCCTTTCCTCATTTTCCATACAAAATTTCGGTACTTTCCCCGAAAAACGGAAATATTTCGCCCGAAAAAAATGACTAGGGGCCCCCAGAGCCCTTGAATACAAGTCATTCACAGTTTGGTATCCAAAACCAAATTTTATCCTGTGGATATCAGGTTACTGCAAATTGCAGACCCTGATATTTGATCGAATTTTCTTTGTCGAGTCTGCCAGAAACGTTTTATCCATACTTCATCAAATAGTCGGTACCCTGACATTTTGCTGAAAGACACTTCGCCGAAAGACATTTTGCCGAACGGACATTTTGCCGATGGACATTTCGTCGAACGGACATTTTGCTGAAAGGACATTCTGACAAACAGCCTTTTCGCCGAAAAGACATTTTGCCGAACGGACAATTTGCCGAAAATAGAGATGTTATTTCGTCAAAATATTAAACACCCACGTTCGCCCACATTGTTTATCAAATTGTTTGGGACGGCGACTCAATTGTCATGCGGTCATTAGCCGCAGTTTAGTTCAATGGTATAACCATATCGATAAAACAGGTGGGAAATTTGTCTGCGCATGCGCTACATTTTGCGCGGTTTGTCTGCGCATGCGCTACATTTAGCGTTTTATTTGCTTGCCTCGTTTTTTTGGTTAACCAAAAAATTTTAATCCATTGCATTGTTGGGAAGGCGTGGAAGGTATGAGAACGTTCACAGGCTAAAAATATTTATAAAATTGCAACCTTATATATCGGAACTGCCTCGGATTCCGATGGAAGTGTCCAGTAATTCCTACTATTCCGTATTTTTAGATGAATGAATTATCTCCCAAAATAAAGTATATGTTTTAAGGGGTAGTTTAAACCATATTTGGTTTTGAGGCTCTCGGCTAGATTTTAAAATAATTTAATTTTTTTATTTTATTGTGCTAACCTTTACCCCCATAAATCACCCCGTATTTTCTTATCATCTTTCTTATCGTATTTTCTTATTATCTGCTCATATTTTCTGAATCAATAGACGCTAATCGAACTATGCTTTTACGAACAGGATTAGCAAACACATGCAATTTCTAGCGGAATATTCAGAGGCACCTATTCAGACTATTATAGACTACATTAGACGGTTGTGCCGTTTTTTATATCAACCCGTATTTTCATATGAACAATACTTTGATTAGTGAATTAAGAAATCTGTGAAGAATCATTTAGAGATAGTCTCGTTTTGAGGCTCTCGACTAGATTTTTTACAATCTTAAGTTGAAAATTTAGCTTTTTCCTATTTTTAGCAAAATCACGATTTTTGCACTGAGTGTTTTCAAGGATTTAATCATAAGTAAACTTTCCAAAGATGCAAAATGCGTTAAAAACAAATTTTAAACCCACCCTGAGTTTATTTTTTTAATTTCATCTGTCCAGGGAGTGAAAACAACTTGCATCTTCGAAAAAAGTTAAATTTCGTCAATATTTCGTCGTATAAGGCCAATTACTTGTTTAGCGTCCCCGCCCGACCTGATAAAAGTCCCCGACCTCCAATTTTTTTTTTTTTTTAAATCCGTCCGAGTTTAGTGCAAAAACTCTCTATAAAAAAGACCGTTTTACTTGAAAAAATGGTGATTTTATTCTTCTGGGAGCTATGTAATACGTTTACTCCTTCCTCGCAGCTAAAGTGTTCGCGCGTGACCGCCAAACGGTAATCATTTCTGTTTTATTAAAAACATGAACGGTATTGAAAAACATGAACGGATTTTGAAAGAATTAAAGTGAGTTTTGACTATGGTAATATACTGGATTTCCTGCATTTAGCAGAATTTTGTGTTGCATTTTACGAAAAAAAAAAAAAATCCGCCCGCCCGACCTAGGAAAATTAAAATGGGTGGACGCTAAACAAGTAATTTTTTTATGTGGCCTAAATAAATAGTTTATAATTGTCCGATTTCAGTTTAAAGTCTTTTATCCAGGACATTTTTCAATAGCCTTTGAATAAACGAACTTAATTTCTTGCACATTCACTGTTTTCTTCCCAAACGAGAAGCCCAAAAACTTGTTTTTGCTCATTTTAATAATTGTTTTAAAAAATTTCGCTAGCGCCCGCAATTTACTGACCAGCGACAGCAAATTTCTCACCTGTTCATATCGATAGTTTGTTTGTGCAGCGGATGACTCATCTGTTAACCAAGTACCACATAGGTGCAGACCTCTAGCTTGCTATATCCGTACTTACTTTTCGCTGGTACCATCTGTCCAAGTGTGACATGACTTTGTATGGAACATGATTGGACAGATGGGACTAAGGAATGTTGGAGTCGATTGTAGTGTCGTATATCCAATTTTGTTCTAACACATAGTTTCAGGTTACTGAATGAATACCTTTCAGAAATCTGTACTTTATGTAAATTTTATAGAGGCTAAGTACGTCGTGAGTATTAAGTTTGTACTAGCTAGCTCCATTATGCGGCAATAATCACTGAAGTCAGGTACAACTAAAAATCTTGAATTATCACAGCCTGATTATACTATTCCAACTCAATGCTTTAGTTGTTAACTGTTCAATCTCCTGTTGTTATTGTAATAATGTAATTTATACAATAAGAGACATGTACTGTATACTTAATTTGATGGTTTGGGGACGCCAAAATTTATCGTAACCAGTATCCAGAAGTAAGATACTGTATTTTCAGAACTTTGAATCCTGGTATCTCAGTGGGGTATTTGGCATGCTATTTCAATATGTGGCATGCCTCTATATTTAGTTTTTTTGCAGGTAGCCAAAAAAATTTGCAGTTAGCCCTGCGTGGTCCAAACTTGCCCGCTTCGCTTGAAGCTTGCAAATTGCGACAGGGGACCGGATACCGAGGTCGAAGAAACTTTTTTGAGTTATGTTTCATATTATCAAAATTGAATGTCCGCTAATTTGCTCAAACCCAACTGCTCGAAAATTTTCATATATCAAGCCGACAAGATTGTCGGCTGATGAATAAAATTCAGCCACAGAACAGGAAAATTTAAGTTTTTGATGGCATCACTTGATGAATTTACGTCTTGAGTACGACTCTTATTAATTAAATTAAATAAGGTCGGTAAATATTGCAAAATATATTCGGAAAAATTGAAATTTTCAACTTTACTTAATTTAAATTAAGCATGCATTTGACCAGTGATTGCAGTTAGCTTCAGGCACTTGCAGGTAACCTGCTACCTAGGATCCCAACTTCTGACAGACATGTGGCACCTCAATTTGTTGTTTGTTGCCATTCGTTGGCTGCAACCTTTTATGTAACTATTATTTATACAGATATTCTGTAAAACAATTAACATCAACCAACTTTGTGACTGCTACTGGGAGTAAGCTTTTTTTCATCTATTTGGGCTATCAAAGTACTAGCTCATCAATTTCAAAAATGCTATCACATTTGACTTTTCATTACCTAATGACCACACAGGGGTATGTTCTTATTAGGTGAGCAGCATGAATTACAAATGCATTTCTAGTTTTAGTTGACTATGATAGCAGAATACGGAAAAACCAGTTTGCATCTGTTGGCCCTTGCCATTTCATGGTGCAACTGGTCAGATCAGTCAAATTGTCAAAAAGAAAACAAAATGTTTGGACTTTAGACAGACTGGAAAATGTGGATAAAATAAAAAGGATGTCCATTTTGGCCAGACTTTCGAAAAACCTGCTCCCTGGACCAGATCTTTCCATCAATACAGAGACAGAAATTCTTTTCTGATGGGTCTGGCAATTCAATTTGTGTCACAAGGGGTGGTGCTAGACCTCTTGAATTGGGGAGGGGTGCAAGTGAATTTTGGCAAGTTATCAACAGAAATTATGCGAGTCACTTCAACCACTAATTAATATTTCTTTCCTGAAATTGCTGGCGAGTCGGGGGGGGGGGG